GGCATTAATCTAACAATCAATCAATCATTTGTTTTAATTGAAATAATAATTAATAATATAAATAATCTCATTGTTTAAAGATATGCCAGAAGTTGTGGTCAAACCGCATGACATAGAGATCAATGAGAACGAGTCGGGAGTATTGGTTTGCACAGCCTATGGATCTCCGCCACCAAAGTATACAATGAATGAATAGATGTGACAATCATTTGTATTGATTGCGAATGCATTTGTATTACTCGTGTGTTAGGGTCTCGTGGAATATAACGGGACTTCAGTCTAATGTGACTCTAAAGCAGACTTTGCAAACTGTTGTCATAGAGAAGTCATCGCACAATTCAAATAAAAGCCATTCCGATCATAAGAAAGCAGTTAATGCTCGCAATATAACCAAAATCAGTCAAACCCTATACCTAAACGAGGCTCACGGGGCCGACAACGGGTACGTCGTCTGCATCGCCGAAAATATTGTCGGCAAAAGCAAAGACTCGTCTTTCCTCAGAATTTTATGTATGAAAAGCACTTTTTTGTTCCCTTTATTGTGTCCTAACCTTTACTCTATTCACTATTAACTACAATACAAGAGACATTACATGAGACTCAAACTGAGCATAGTTTTACATATTTGTTGCACGAATGCTCCCATTGTTGTCAATAAATGCAATGAAATGATTGCAAGTATTTTTTCTGATAATACTTTCTCACGAAAGTCAGGACAATAATAGAGCTATAAATTACACGTTTTATTTGATACAAGTTATACAATATTTTATGGGACTAGAGATTAGTTAATAGTATTTTAATTCTTATAATGTATATACAGTACAGAATTCGTATAATTAGAAATTAACTTAAAATGTTATAAACAAATACAGTATTATAAATGCGAAAACTATAGAAATATGTGCAAATATAGTGTTATTTTTAAAACCTTGAGCGAAAATAAATGTAAAAATCGATTAAAAGGAGATCGATGTTGTCGTTTTGTAAATCATTGCTTTCGATTCATTAAATTTTATAAATCTCTGTTTTTATTGAAAGGACAGAAAATGATAGACTATATAACAGAAATCATGTGTAACTTATTGAATGTTTGGACCAACAGTTTATTACTTTTAGTGAATTGCTATTTATATAACGACCGAAAAAATTGATATATTTATTTGACAAAAAAAATGTTTTCTATGTTTTCTCACTTTAGGCACATATTTGTCATTAGAGCACTATTTAAGTTATTTATTTGTCAATTATATTTATATTATTGTATCAAAAAACAATCGCCGGAATTGTCTTTGAGTTCACACAACTCTACCCCAAAGTATTGTTGTCTTTGATTTATGTGAACTAACTTTCAATCAATTATTCTTTTGTTCAAAATCTAACTCAAAGAATAACAAATCACTTCTATTACGATATATTCTGTAAGAGTTTTTCTATTCAATAGTCAACTAAATAATCGATGGATTTCCCACTCTCTTCCTATTTTGATGACTTTTACGAGAATTACACTTTAATGCTATTAACAATATTTAATCTCATAATCTCTGAAACTAATTTTTTTATTATGCAACATATCCTTTATTGTTTTTTTTATTATTTATTAATATAATTTATTTAAACTCATTATTTTTGGCCCAAAAGCGCCTCCAAATATAGTCGAGTTGACGATTGAGAGGAGATTTTTTTGGTGTATTAAATATCGTATAACAGGAGTGCCTCCCGTCACCAAAACGTGGTATTTTAATAATCAACCCTTAAATATGTCCGAAACTATCAAAGATCTCGATATCGCAACTGTAATCAAAAATGATTACGAAACTGAAGGTAAATTTAACAAACAATGCATTTTAATTACCAATTTATGCGTGAATTTGGATAAACAGTTGTAATTAATGTCCTTATAATTGATAGGATGTCTTCAAATTGAAAGAGCGACTCATGTGAACGACGGGTTGTATACTTTAATTGCTGTCAACTCTTTGGGACAGTTTAACCGATCAGTTGAGGCACAGTTTCATAAGGGTTAGTGTCTTGGAGTTTATTTGTATGTTTCTAATCATTTAATCCGATATTAGATGTTAAGCCAATTCAACGCCCAACTCCTCGCCTCCCGAAACTGCCTCCGCATCCGTCCATCCCTTCCGGGGAGACAATTACCAGACAACCCGAAGACAGTAGTCCTACACAAAAGAGCACCTGGGTATTTATGTTTTATTACTTATATAGGCTATGTTTAGCATTTGATATCAATTCTCTAAAGGTGAAACTATCAGAGAATTTAATTACTAACGTAGGTTTGAAATGCATTTAAAGTCAAATTTTATGTTTTCACTTTAAATGATTTAATTAAAAATTTCAATTATAAGTGAATAGAGTATTGTTTCGCTTTAAATCATATTTTAATTAAATCCAAATATGAAAGAGAAATAAGAAATTTAATCACATCTTTGGTTTGTTTGCTCTCAAATATTCTGTTATTTGTTCTGCTTTTTGGTTCACTTTATTATTATTAAGAAATTATTTAATTCTTATTTCATTTTGTATTTTGCAAAACATTTGCTTTTTATTTAATTATTGTATCCAAAGAAACATACATTCATTTTTACGATCGAGACATGTATTAAGATAAGTAACGTTTATAGTTATGGCAAAACAATATATAAGAATGGCTTTCAAATATTGACAATAAAAATACATGAAATTTACTTCTCTCTCGAATGGAGATTAATGTATGTCATTATTGTGTAAACTATTGTTTTAAACAAATAGTTATCTTTCTTACCATTTATAAACTTTTTTAAAGTAAAACAATATTACTTTATTTTGTCACAGGATTTAATATACACGCAAATCAGAGCAATTTTAGAATGTGTTATACAATAATGATTTATCTAGATTATTTAAATTACTATATTCTTGTTTTACAATAATTAGCATAACTATAAATAAATACTGTAAAGTACTGTAAAATACTTTATATTATGTGATAGCGCTGTAGTAATAACATTAGATTAGCATGGTCGGCTGTTTTAGAATTTTAGTTTAAATTATCACCATTTTCTATATTATCTTAAATGGAATTTCAATGATCATGTTTTTAATGCTTATTATTTCTAAATAAATTAATTTATAATTCAATTTTAAAAATTAAAATTATCTAAAAAATTTATAAATCAATATTTACATCATGATACAAAACATACATTGTTTGTATAATATTTTGATATACATTTTAACAGTTTCTATGGAATTGACATTATCTTTATTTATAGACTAGTTATTTAGAAAATATTTTTAAAAATCAAAAATATTATAACAATAAATAAATATGTAATTTAATTAAATTTATTTTAAAATTAGAATATATGAATAGTTCAGATAATGAATTTAATGAATTCAATCACAATTACATTAACTTAAATGTGATAATAATTAAATTACAAAATCCACATTTACAATTCATATCAATAACATAAACTTTACATAATTTTTATTATTATTAAAAAGAATAATATTATTCTATGTAAATAATGTTTAATATTATTATCACTAAAAGTATATTTAATACTAAAGAATATTTTAGATTTAGTAAATTATATTATTGGTATAAGATCTGAAATTTGTAAACCATTGACTGAATTAATAATCATCTGTTTTTAGGTGCCTATTGTTGTGGTCTCGACAATAGTGGCGTTTGTATTAATGATTACATTAACTGTAATAATACTACTATTTAGTTGCAAGAAATGGAAATCTAGTTCATCTCAAA